GGAAAATACATTTAGTAGATTTGGGGTCAAGTTTACTAGTGATTGTGTGAATAAATGTGAACAAAGAAGGAGCAACCAAATACTTTGGTAAGTAGATTTTGGGTAATTACCTTGGTGTGGGGAAATGATTTGAGAAGGAGTTGGACTAGACTTTGAAATTTGAGGACCCGAGAAGGCATCTTGTTGATGACGTAGGCTGTAGTGGATACAGCATCACCCCAAAAAATCTTAGGCATGTTAGAAAAAAATATGAGGCAGCGGGCCACCTCGAGAAGGTGGCGATTCTTGCGTTCATCGATCTCATTTTGTTGAGCGGTGTCGACGCAAGAACTGAAATGGAGGATGCCTTTAGATGATATATAAGAGTCGAGGACGGAAGCGAAGTACTCCTTTGCATTATCAGTCTTGAGTGCATGGATGGAGGTTTGGAATTGTGTTTGGATCATTTAGTAAAATTGTTCAAATTTATCTTTCATAAGAAATAGCCACGTTAGTCGCGTGTGATCAGCAATAAAGAAGACAAACCACCGAGTCCCAATAAGGGTTGTAACACGGGATGGGTCCCAGATATCGTTGTGAATGAGTACAAAGGGTCGAGAAGAGGTGTAACCAACACGTGGAAATGACGTGCTAGTGTGTTTGACAAGTTGAAAAAATTCACATTGAAAAAAAATGACATCTTTATTGATAAATAAATTTGGAAATAGTTTTGTAAGATACATAAAATTTGGATGACCGAGACGAAAATGCCATAACATGATCTCAGAATCTTTATTGACACTAGAATTGGAGACAGAATGATGGGTAAGCAAATTTTCGCAGTGAGGTCGTGGTGGTGAAGTACCGTTGTTGACGTAGAGACCCGAGCACATCTCAGCATTGCCAATCGTCATCCCCGAGTCCGCATCCTGAAATTCAACCATAGTAGGGAAAAATTTAGCAATACACATCATATCACTAGTCAACTTTCCGATTGATATTAAATTGCAACTTAAAGTAGGAACAAGAAGCACATATCAGAGTAGAATGTTTTGGGTGATGCGCACGGAGCCAAAATCGGTGACTTTGGAGATAGAGCCATCGACAACGCGGATGGTGGAGTTGTCTCCGCACGACATATAGTCATGGAGAAGGGAGGCATTGTCAATCATGTGACGAGAAGCGCCAGAATCGATGATCCACTGACCGAGGGATCCTTGATTGATTGTCAAGGCATGGTAGAACGTATCTTGATACACGAGCAGGCCGGTGATGGGGTTTGGAACAACCAAATCAGGTGGTTTGCCGATCATTTTGTGCAGCAAATCTAGTTGCTCTTTGCTGAATGGACTGGACGCTGATGCAGGAAGGTCATCGACAGCGACGACGTTGTTGGCACGGGGAGCGCAATCAGACCGAGGCTTCCAATCGGCTGGCTTTCCATGAAGCACTCAACACGTGTCTTTATTGCTGCAATGGTCGCGCCAGGGACGACCTTTGTGTGATGGGTTGTCGTTGTGTCGAGGCGGAGAAACCCGAGCTGCGAGGGCGGATGCGTCAACGGAGAGATTGGGCGAGGTGGAGATAGACCCAAGCATGACTTTCTAGCGGCTTTCTTCGCGGCAAACCTCGAAGAAGGCCTCGTGAATGCTTGGTAGTGGTTTGAGCTTGATACACGAGAGAGAACATATCCCTTGGTAGAATTTGAATATCCTTTTTTGCTCGATGATCTGACGGTATAAGTTGGAGTTCGGAGTGCATGACCAGGCATGGACTTCATACATGTCAATCTGTTGCCAGTAATGTGAGAAGGCATTAAAATACTGAGTCACGGATTGATCACATTGGCGAAGATCATGGAGGATTGACTCGATCTCGATGAGCTTGGATGTGTTATCTGAGTGAGAGTATGTCTCTTGAGCAGCATCCCAAATACTATTGACCGTGTCACAGAGAAGTAAATTTTCATCGATGTCGTTGGTTATGAAATTGATTAACCACGACATGACCATGTGATTTTCTGCATTCCATGTTCGGAATTTTGGGTCATCTTTGGCCGGAGCGACGACATTACTGGTGATATAGTCGTCCTTGCCTCTGCCGCAGATAAACATCATGACAGATTGTGACGACTAGAGGTAGTTCTGACCGTTGAGTTGGTGGCCAGTGATGAGGGAGGAAGTGCCATCGATTCCGGTTGGAGCAGGGGCAGATGAGGCGGATGATATTTCTTGGGAGGATGAAGAAGAAGTCGTCATACCGATAAAGATTGGTATGACTCTGATACCATGAAAATATATGAAAGGATTTGATTTTATTGATGAAAAGAGGGGTATAAATACCCATTATGTTGTGAAATTGAAGCGGAATAAAACAAGAATCGACACAAACCAGAAGAAGAACACAGAGATTTAACGAGGTTCGGCAAAGAATTGCCTACGTCCTCGGGAGCGAGCAGCGGTTTCACTATTTCAGAGAAGTTACAATTTACATCCCATAGGGTCACACATATATATAGACATATACAAACCCTCAGATAAAATTACAATCACGGCCTTCTCCAATAGACACATCTTTTTATTACAGGAGACTCCAATTTTTGGTATATGAGTCATACCTAACAAATCTTCACCTTGGCGAATATGCAGCCCCTTAAAAGAAATACATCATGGAGTTTATTACACCGAAGTTGATTGGACAACCATGCTCTAACAATTGCAAATATTCAACAAGTTCAAGCAATGCAAGAACTTGTTGATAGTATCTAACTTGGTTAATATATTTGCTGCATTTTCATCATATGATTCAACAGAGTAAACTTCACTTATAACTGTACTCCCCAATAGTTTATAGATATGGCCTGCAATAATCTTTCATTTTATCACAGTCAATGCACCTTTAACAATTCTGATGGTTTCTCTATCTTTATCTGTCTTAAGAAGAAAACAATTTCTGTGTAAAGTGCCCAAGGAAATTAAATTATTCTTCAAATCTGGAATATGTCTTACATCACATAATGTTTTAATAGTGTCAGCATAGATCTGACTTTGCCAATACCAGCAATATTATAACATTTATCATCACCCAAATAGACTGAACCAGAATCATATAATATGTATGAAGTAAATCATTCTCTGTTAGATGTTATGTGATAAGAGCATCCTGAATCAACAATACATGCATCATTCAACTGAGTTGTTGTAACTGAAAGTACATCACTATTACTGCAATCTAAATTGTTCATCTGCACCATATTCACAGACTTGAAAAATACATAATGTTTCTCATCAAATTCTTTTTTGATCTTTGTACAATCTCTCTTCATATGTTTCGACTCCTTTCACTTGTAGCAATGAATCGTCTTTCTGTCTTTAGGTTTTGACCTGAAATTTCGCATTCCAGAACTCCTTCCTTCCACGATCATGATTACCCTTAGCATATAAACAATTACCATGAGAGTTTTCCCCTTCATTTTGTTTCCGCTGGTTGTGAGCCAACAATGCAGCAATAATCTCATCAATTTTGATTGTTTCTTTCTCATATGTAAGAGTAGTCACCAGATGTTCATAGGAGGAAGACAATAAACACAACATAATCATTGCTTAGTCTTCATCCTCAATACTCACATCAAGCCGTGTTAGACTTGTGATTATTTGATTGAAGACATTCAAAAGTTGCGCCAGATCAGTGTCTGTTTGCATTTTCAGTCCATACAGTCTTTGCTTCAAATACAATTTATTTGTTAGAGATTTGAATATAAACTGAGATTTCAATCTCTTTCATACTTCTCCTTGAGATTTCAGATTCATAACATGATACATAATTTTATCTGTCAGACATAAACGTATGGTACGTGCCACTCGTAGTTGCAATTCTTTTCGATCTTCATCTTCCATATTATTAGGTTTCGTAGCTCGCAAAGCTTTCAAAATTCCTTGTGCCAACAAATCTTTTACCCTTGTTTGCCACAATCCGAAGTTTCCGGTTCCATCGAACTTAACTATCTCGAATTTTGCTCCAGACATTGCTATTTGAAATTTAATCATGCACCGTATTTTCCTTCCTTGCTTTGAAAAACAAAAAAAAAATACTCCGCAAATAAATTCAAAGAAACCTGAAATTTTCCTTGTCAAATGCAACAACTATCCCGCGATTCTTCTGTGATTTGTGAATCAAATTTTCCTACGAAACACTTTTCCTGTTCGTACCAGTACCTCGGCCAATTGCTGTTTCTACGAGCCACGAATCCCTTCGCACCTGTTCGAGGAATACCTCCACGAAACTGCTGTTCACGAAATAATTGTACCTGCTCGCCTCCTACACCCTGCCGAACTCCACCTGTCCCAAAATCTCCTGCGACGAACCGACGAATTTAACTGGTCGAATTCCTCAGATTTTTCGCAAAACAAGGCTCCTGTTTCGCGGTGGAGAGCCTCTGTTTCTCACTAATTGTTGAACCTGTCGAACTCCTCTATTTTCTGAAACTGCACGACGTTCCTCCGCGAAAGATCAACGATCTGGCCCGATCTTCCCTGAAAGATCTGCCTCGCTGCCTGTCTAAAACGCGATTCGCGAATCCCCTGGTGAAGAAGCGCGAACTGTCCGGAGCTTCCTGTCGCGAACTGCTCTGCCTGTTCCGTGATCCCTTCTTTTCCGCGAACTCCCGATGCGCCGCTCCGCCTCGTTCGCCAACCGGTTTGACAAAGGCCGCGACTGTTCACTCGAACTGCCCACGAACTGCCGAACAAGGCTTTGCGAACGGCACGGGCGATCTAGCCTTATCTTCTTCCCGCGAACGAGATCTGCCTGTCGCGAATGGGTGAATTCCTCTGCGTCTCGAACTGCTCTGCAAAGCCTCCTCCTTCGTGAATCTCCTTCCCGAATTCGTCTCTGTCTGTGGCGAACGCCGTGAAGCCTTCTCGGTCGTGATCCGTCCAAACTGCCTGACTCCTCTCGTCGCCTGTGGAAGATGCGTTGAACCGCACTCCTCCGCAGAACCGCGAATTTTCTGGACTCTCGCGATTCACCTCTGCCGAAGAAGCCAAATGCTGCGCCCCGAACTCCGGCGGTAACTCCTTCCGGTGTCGCTGCCTGGTTTCGAAACTCCTCGCAACCCTGTCGCGCACAGGAGAATTCCTCCTGCGATCTCCTCGCGACGCCGAACCGTCCGAGGAACAACCTCAAAACGGCTCGAACTTCTTCTTTCTTTCTTCTTCCTGCGTCGATCTCCTCCTGTTCCCCTCGAAGGAGGCTCTGATACCAATTGTTGTGAAATTGAAGCGGAATAAAACAAGAATCGACACAAACCAGAATAAGAACACAGAGATTTAACGAGGTTCGGCAAAGAATTGCCTACGTCCTCGGGAGCGAGCAGCGGTTTCACTATTTCAGAGAAGTTACAATTTACATCCCATAGGGTCACACATATATATAGACATATACAAACCCTCAGATAAAATTACAATCACGCTCCTCCCAACCCCCTTTATTCCAAGAGACACTCCTTTTCACCAGGAGACACACCTCTTCACCAAGAAACTCCAACTTCCTAGATATGAGCCATACCTAACACATTACAGGACTTACTAGTAAGAAAAACAATAAAAACAAAATATAGTAGAAAATGAAATGAATAATAACAAAATATAAAAGACGGAAAATCTCTCTAATTTAAGGAGAGAAATAAATAGAGATTCTCAATATCCCTGATATAGTTTATAACTCTCTAAATATAGAGTTATAACCAACATGGAATATAATAATTAGTATTTTTAAAATCTTTCAATAGTTCGAAAGGAAGGTCATTGAAATTTAAAATTTTACATGTGAAGTCAATTTATTCATGTATAATTATAAGAGAACAAAGAAAAAAACATGGTTGAATAAATTATAAGTGTTCTTGTGCCATTAATTTCTTATACTGGAGCTTGCAGAACAAATCATGATTTCATCATCTTACATTGAATCTTATTTTCTAATCCAGCTCTTCAAATTTCATAATTTTCATTCAAGTTTTCACTGGACACCTGCCTTATCTTGCTTTTTCCTCTTCCTAAAATTCTCAGCTTTCGAAAGGCCTTTACCAATCTGTTAACATGCTTCGTCTGTGAACCCCAACCGATCGAGCCGATGCAGCTCTTAACTTGGCCAGGACCGCTCCTTCTCTTCAGAACCTTCTTCCCGTCTGCGCCAGACTGCCGAGAGCTCTTCTTCAGTACGTTCTGCTGTTTAAGACTTTTCTTCAAGGCCATGAGTTCTTCTTCAAGAAGCTGGATTCTAAAGCTTGCTGATTCATATTCTGCCTTGGCAAGATCCGGCCTTTCTATCATATCGGTGCTTTTCGTAAGCGAGTCTAAAAGAGTTCCTCCAGCATCATCTTCTTCCCCCGTCGTTTGTTGATACGAGTTTTTGCCCATATATTGATTTAAGAGAGCTTGGGATCTGGAGCTTAGAAGGCTTCCTGAGAAATCTCCAAACTGCGTGTATCTGAAGGATTCTGAGAAATCTTTGAAGGCTTGATATGTGTGAAGCTGCTGAACAGATAGAGCTTGTACGATTAATCGTAGCGGCATCAACTCATTCTGCACTGCTTGAACACATATAGGTTGTGACAATTTGGGACAATTCAAATATTTGCAGAGGGATGCTTTGTCTTCAGATGAAATATGTTGATGTTCCTGAAATTACAGCGAAGTATATGATTTGCTTTAGCTCTGTAGGAAGAACAAATGTAAGTTAAACAGAGCTAAACTTATCTGGTTTTGGAGTTACCAGTAAGAAAACACTGATTGCTTTGTATAGATTGTCATGAGTCTCTCGGTCGACCATTGGCACTGTTTCAATGAGCTTTATGAATCTATTCGTGTCGAGCTTTGGATCAACGGCGATATAGGAAAGATAACGATCCCATAACGCAGCAACCATGGAGTCCGTGTTGATGACAGAAGATCCACTGTAAAATGTCTCCTGTTTGAATGATAAATGAAGCGAGAAGATTCTCTCCATCACCTTTAACTCTGCAGAATTCACTATGGCTTTCGGGTCGTCGCCATTGGTAGGGAGCAGTAAATCTTCCACGCGAGCAAAATGCAGAAGGGAGGCGACTTCTTCTTCCAAACGTATCGTGCTCTCGCCTTCTAAACCGAGACTCACAGACCTTGAGAGCATGGCAAGGTAAAAGCCTACCGGAATCACTTTACTCGTCTTCTCTCCCAATGGAAGAAGCTCAAGTAAGCCTTGAAGAATTGATGAAACTTTCTCACTAACATCAATTGCATTGTTTTCATCAGCGTTCTCCTCCAAGTATTTGTGCGTCTTCTTGGAGAGCACCCATTTGTTAGCATATAAGACAATTAAGGGGCTAACATACTTCTCCTCCATGCCTTGATTTCTCAGAGATTGAATGATCCTATCGAAGAACTCGAACGGGAGGGCGGTGAGCTCCTTGACCCATAAATCCTGCCCAGCAATCTCCTTCGCTTTCTCGCAGTCCCAGACACGACCAACCATAACTTGTAAGCTGAGGAGAGGGCCTTCTCGTTCTCTTTCGGGATCAAGTATCTCCATACAAGCCATGAATGCCAAGGATTCAATGCAACGGCTCACAAAAAGAAGCTCTTCAGCCCATGATGGCAGAATCTGGCACTTCTGAAGAACTATGAGGGTATCATCCCAGCTCTGCAGCACAACTTGGTTCAAGTACAGGTCTGCCTGCTCGCAGAGGTTGCCGGAAAAGTACTCCTCCGTCATCTCGAGGAAACTGGCGGCGGAACGAAGCGCCAGAACATTGAAAGGGTCGAGAGGGAGTGGACTGTCATAGCTGAACAATATGGCAATCTCGAATGCTTCCGATCCTCCCGGAAAACTGTCGGGGAGCTCGATCTCGAAGGATTCCGGCAATGCCTTTCGGAAAAAACCAGACTTTGAAACAAGGGGGGACTGCACAGAGAGAGAGTAGAAGATTTGAGTTTAAAGGCTGAAAGGGATGGATGGAAAGGTTCTTTTTTTTTTTTTTTTCTCACCTCATGAAGATGAAAGATGTTGCCGTCGATGTGGACATGAACTGAAGCTGGTTGGTTGTTGTTCTCTTTGCTCCTGAAGCAGTTGGAAGCATGTCAGTTAGAGAGAGAAAATCTTAGAGATGGAAAGAGAAACTGTGAGTTATTTACCATGAGAGAATTCTTCTTCTGAGTAAGACGCTGGGGTTGGGGCTTGAGGAAGGAGGTGGGGTCAGAGGACTTTCAGTTATGCCTGTTTGCTCCATTGCTGGCCTTCTGAGCAAGTTTTAATCTTTTTGTAGAACACAAATCAACTGGTTTGCTCAGAATTGGATGAATGGGGGGAGGAGGAGAGGTTTTATAAGCCGTTGAGATCTATTAGCTGTTGTCATAAGAGAGAGAGAGAGAGAGAGAGAGAGAGGAGATTTATAATATTTGTTTTTGGGCAGTTTGCAATAATAATAATAATACTAACATAATACTGATGGTAATAATACTAATTTAATGGTTGCTTAGCGGTAATATTGAAAAAGAATTAAGGCCACACGTGTCAATTGTAAACCAATCAATGCAGGCAGGATAATCCACCTATTTCTGCAGCTTTTCTTTTTTAACAACCATTGTTCATTAAAAATCGGATTATAATATTGAATATCCAATATAAATATATTCATATATATATATATATATATATATATAAGAATGGGGTGGTATATATGTAAATGCCCCTTTTATTTGATAAAATCTTGCAGGGGCGGAGACGGCACGCTTCAGGAATTCCGGGGGGGTATTTTGGGGAAGTGGGAGGACTGGACCGCGTATCGGGATTTTCTCATCTCGCGATTTGATATGTTTGTCGTTCAAATATCGACAGTATACAACTGTAATGTTTAGTAATATATTAATCTCATGTATTTACAATATTGTCCATTTGGAAGTTCAACGTGCCTGCTTCATTTTTTTTTTTCATTTGATATTTTTCATTTTCTTAAATTATCAATAAAATTAGTGAATTACTTAATCATATATGGAAGATTTGCATACATAGTATTCAACCCCTATGCATGATATATCATATGCTTACATTTTTTTATAGGAGTATTTCATTTTTTTTAAATTAAAATGATGATATTTTTAATGTGATATTGTTTACTCTGAAACTGTTCGTTGGACACACCCAAGGAATAGATAGAGCGTGTAAAGGGGAGGGAATAGAGAAGAGCAAAATAGTTAATGGTAACAACTCGTAACCATTATTCAAAAATGATTCTCTATTTACAGACATAGGGAGCGTGGATTCCATGCTACATTTATGTCTCTTCTTTATTTGAATAGTGGGGGTGATTTTTGTATTTTGCATAAGCGGGCTAGATATAATCGTCGGTAGGACTCTTTTGGTCTGTTGATTTCTTCCGAACAGACTAAACTCAGCCGAACGGCTCGACTAAGGCCTTCTTAGTGATAGTTGACAAGGGATGAATCAGTCGGTCGAATTTGACCTGGTAGGGTAAATCCTCTTGTTGAGGTCCTAAAGATAGACGATCGGTCAGTCAATTCTTTCACCCATTCTATATTTTGGTCGTGGATCTCTTCAACGTTCGTGCAGACTTATGTTTATTTACAAATATGAAAGAATTTTATTGTACAAATAATAAAAAAAAATTTAGTAATATGTCCCCAAAAAAATGACGACCATAACCTCTACTTGTGTATATTGCTTGCAGTTATTCAACGATATAGGAAGTCTTATAACCGACATCGACAAAATGAAATCATTTTAACAATGTTAGACCTCTCGGTTTTTATATCTTTTAGTTTTTCATGTAAAAACTCAAGTTGCTTTCTATGTTAGTTTTTTTTCTTTTATCTGTGTATATTAAATCTTCATACAACACCAAGACGTTAATATATTACTCTACAATCTTGAATTTACTAGCATAGAATAGTTAGATATGTAAATATTAAATACATAGGAATTGGCTATTATGAATGTAAATGCCACTTTATATGCATATCATTATCAAATTGAAATTATGGATAATATATTTTGTCTTTTTTTTGGGAAAAAAGGGTGATATTTCTCTTTTAATTTGCGAATTTAAAAAATAAATTTTATTATTTGTTTTTTATATAATAGAAAATAATGATAATTTTGTGTGATAGTTTATATTATAAAAAAATTGGAAGTTTTATCTATTAACAATTATTATTATTATTTTTTTTACAAAAATATCATTTAGATTTATATAAAATGAAAAATGGAATATGTATATGAATAACATATGTAAATAAATTGTATGAGCTTTTTATTTAAAAGGAAAATAGAGATATTGATGATAGTTTAAAGGGCGGTTATGTAAAAGTATTTGTATAAGAAAATATGATTTGGATGGTGAGTTAGGGATGAATATAAAATAAAATTTATAAATCCACCCCAAATGGTTGAGGTTAAACAAGTCTTGATAATTATAATATTATTTTAAGAAAGGATTTAATAGTTTTGGTTTTATTTCTTGTCATTAATCATTTTTTATTTTATTTTATTTCTACACGATTTTTTTTTGCATAAATAAAAAAGGGCATTTACATGCAGTAGAGGTGTAAACGAACTGAGCTTGAGTTCGTGTTCGGTTTATTTGAAATTTAGTCTGTTTGAAATAAGCTCGTGTTCGAAATTATTTGTGAAGTCACTGTTCGTTCGTTTCTTAACGAACGAGCCGAACACGAGCCCTCG